ATAATTCAAAAGAAAAATAAAAAGCAATAAACAGGGGGAAAAATTAATAGTACAAACAAGGAGTGAGCTTGCATATTTTGTCGGCATTAATTTGCCTCTATTCTTCAACTCATTTATATCGGAGGAGTTGAAAAACAGGCGTAGGATAGGACAAAATGCATTATGTGCCACAACAATTGGGAGCAAATATTAAATAAAAAAAAAACGAAAGAACAGAGTAGGCATTTGGTGAGTGGAAAAGGCCACAAAGTTTGGTACAGTGTACTCCTATTTTGTGCTGCCGGAGATAGTGGCGATTGAAGGAGCAGAAAAGCAAGCCAGGGTTGAAACCACATTATTAGTAGGGTTTGGTCAAACTTCAAATAAATGGAGCACACGCTGACAACTAAAGTACCACAACACCAGGCTCACAAATCACAATTCCGTTGGCCGCCTTATTTTATTGCCCATGAAACTACCCAGTTTTCCCACAACCCCCTCTTTAACTCAAGGCTAATGCAATGACACAGAGGATAACATCATCAAGCAATTCTTTTTTATTTTTTAACATGCTCATCTTTACGCAGGGTTTCATATTATAAGTGTTATGTTAACGTTTTCAGTAGTTTTTTCTTCTTCTTTTTTGGGTTGGCAGTATTTATTTGTAACGGGAAGGGATAGCGTGAAGGAGGACTGGCAGGCGGGGCATAGGTATAAAATTCAGGGGCTACCTCGTGATTGGTGTGATTCGTTGTCGTGTATTGGGGTGCTGCGAATCTCGATGCAACCCAATCCTACGCCCAATACCGGCTCCACCAACGTGTCATCCCTCGCTTACCCATATTTCTGTTAACACTCCCATTTACCCACCTTTTGTTGTTGTTGTTTTTTTTTTAAAGTTTAAATGGTGGATCATTTTGGAGGGCAAGAATACTGGTTAGCCTCCTAACGGTAAATGTTACGGATTTTAATTAATACACATGACATGATGAGTAAGGATATTCTAAAAAAAATAATACAAATTTAGTATACATATTTAAATTAAATAATTAGTTTTTACGTTCAGAAATTCAAGCGCATGTTTTAAATGGAGGCAAATACGAGTAGTGATAATGAGTTGGAGCTTAGAGGGAGGCGGCAGGGGCGGCGAAAACGCGCGGGTGGGGGAAGAGAAGGCCAATGAGGAGGCGGCATGTAAAAGGAGGTGGGGGGGCCCACAAGGGGATGAGCGTGTTGACTATGCAGCTGTCGGAGTTGATGTTGTCTTCACGTGATGTTTCAGCGCTGCTTCTTCCCTCTGCCCCCCACTTTTATTCCCTTCCTTCTCCTCCCCTCCTCTCCAATCCTAATCCCTTCCTGCGCTCTTTTATCTTCTTCCTTTTCTTAATTTAATACTAACCCATTGGTTTTTCCCCCTTTTAATGAGGATCATGCCCTGCATGTACGCAACCTAATATATATATTCATTTCTTATACTACCCACCATCCGTCTTATCTTTTTCTTAATTTCGCTGCCCCCCCCCCCTTCCACTTTTTTAAAAAAAGTATTGCGGCCATCTGGTCACCTATCACGTTCCAACTTTGTGCCCTTTGAATAAAAGAAACGTAATAATTTCAGGTACTGTTATATATGATTCGGCGAATCAACCATGATATCGCCCAAGAACCGATTATTTTGACCTGCAGACACAGTCAGAAACAGAATGGCCGCCGATATGATAGATACGGATTAGAAGGAGTATGTGTGAATGTGTACGCTGTGGATTGGATGGTGTCCTCCATTTACTTTCCTGCTCACTCTCATCTCTTCGTCTTCCATGCCTTCATCCCAAAAGCGCTGTCGTATTCAATTCTCATGTTCAACCACCTTTGTTGGCCTCACTGTGCGCCTCTCATTATTTTACGCCATTTTCATATCCTTCACCTGCCGTCCCTGCTTCTTCCCTTAATATAAGACCTTAATCCACTTTGTCTCTCATACTTACTCAATTTTTTTAAGATCATCCTTCTAATAATTATAATTCTAGATAATACACTTGATTAGTAAGGATATTTTATGAAAGATAACACCTATTTATTAGGACAAATAACTACTCAGCTCATTTCTTTAATATCCTCAAATTAGTCACTAATTAGGACCAGAGGTAGTATGAAAACTACTTGAGTATATTAAAAAAATTTATTAAGTCAATTGTCTATGATAAATAAGTTTTATTGATAATACGTATTAGATAGAATTATTAACTACTACTATCATTTATATATGGCACCAAAATTCCGGCACAATCCCCTTGTTTTCATTTATAATGAGCGCCGCCAATGTTTCCCCCGAGTTTTTTTTTTTAAAAGAAAAAGGAAGCGGCCGAGTTATTATTCATTTAAATATGCTCAAATGGCGGCAAAAGGGAGGCCTCAAGACACACGAAATGGAGATACGAATCTGGACTGTATCACGATTTTATATATAATAATGACCAAAAATTAAAACAGGGAGACCTATTGACATTTTATTTATAAAAACATATTCATGCACAAAATTACCAAAATACCTTCTGCTTTTTGAAAAAATAACAGTCCTGCGATTGAAGATCCGGTGACAAGTTCAGATTTATTCATGTGACTTTTCCTGAGATCCAATGGCAAGAAGAGCGGGGGAGCATGGGGGGAACCAAGCAGGCGGCCGCAATTAATTGTTGTTTCTTATAATAATTAATTAAAAAATTGAGATGAGTGGAGAAAAGGAGGGGCCAGGAAAAGGGAGGGAGCGCGGCGGCCGCGAGGAGGGGATGGGTCCCACGGGGGAGGAATGGGGCGAAGCAGATAAAGGCCAAGCGGGGGATGTAGGGGTACCATGAAACCGAGGAAGAGCGGGTGGGAGGGAGACACGTGGAGGGGATCACGTGGGAAGGGGAGCGGGCAAAGAGTACGGAGCCACCAGTGGGGTCTGATGATGGACAGACAGTTAGAGTGGGCATCGGCGCGTCGGCGGATTTTCAATTCGCCCTTTCATTTATTTATTTATTTATGGTCGGTCTGAATGGACAGAATCCATATCCGTTACCTGGGAAAGGATGTTTCATGGCAGCCTTCATTTCATCTTTCCCTTTGCTTTCCCCGATTCCATTCGCCCGCATCTTCTCTTCCTCTTTTCTCTCCTCTTTCCTTTCGTGCCCGTCACGCCGATTTCTTCAAAACAAAAATTGCTCAAAAACCTCCCATTAATTTTTTTTTGATATTGAAAAGTTTAAATGAATTGAATCCGAAAAGTCAGGATATATTTTCAGATTAAAAAGGTATTTATCGAAGTACTTGCAGATCGTCTATTAACTAAATTTTCGTATCAACAGCAGAATTTGAACTCATAACTTTATGAGTTATTGAGTTATGAGCTAACTCTTTACTAACTAAACCAACTCGTTAATTAAAATATTTATGACCAAAGCTACGTGAAATTTATCCTAAGTCCCCACAAAAAATCTTCTTCACTTGTAAATAATACTCCCTCCGTTCCTTATTATAAGAGACGAATAACCGAATTACGTTGTTCAAAAAACAGTTAAAATTAGTTAAGAACAATCAATGCGTGAAAAGTATAATTTTTTTTCCAAAAATGCCCTCATTAATTAGGAGAGAGAGCATGAGAGAGAACAATAGTAAATTATTAAAAAAAAGAGAAGTGGAAAGGAGAGAGAGTGTGAGTTGGAGACAATAAATATGGGTAAAATAGGAAACCAATACAAAAAAGTAGAGACAACTTTTAAGTGTCTCTTATATATAGAAACATGCTATAAGCATCAAATGTCTCTTATAATAAGGAACGGAGGGAGTAGTGTATAAGACCTATTTGTAAATATTTGCCTTCTGTTTTGTCTCTAAAAAAAGATGCGCAGCTCATCTTAACAGACGCAATCTTTTAATAAGGAAAAATAGTTTTAATGGTCTAATTTTTCTCTAGGCGGGTGAAACCATTCTTCAACCATTTGCGTAAATCATCAAAGCAAGAAATTTGCATGTAAAAAAAAATAGTTGAATGACCTAAGTACAAAAAAATTTTGGGCAACAAATATTTCCAAGGGAGATTTTTTTCAGCATTTACCTTTTTTTTTTACACATAATATATTTCCGGAACAAATGTGATAAAAATACCAAGTGAGTGCATTAAGCTATTGCCATTGAAGAGGGGAGGGGGTTACGCAGAGATGAGACCAAGCAGAGAAGTGGCTGTAAATTATGGTCACGATTACCTTGTCCAACCAACATTGGGGCAGTGAGGGATGGCTAGATCATCACTCACTTGCTGGACAAAGGGAATTGGATTGCATAACCCGACAATGTTCCATAATGCTCCTTATCACCAACATACAAATTGAGCCAGCCACTCTCGTATAAGTTTAACGCTGTCTGAGATTTGATCTAGTGATACTATTTCTCATTCTAATATAAGATTTTATAACAAGGACTGGAATTAATATGTGTGTGTGTACAACTGTGCGTCATGTGAGGCCACCACCAACTGTGGGGGGGAAAAAGAATAAAGGTGAGTCCTTTGCTAATGATACAGATGTAAAAGGGGACAGGTTAACTGGCTTGGGGGAATGATTAACAGTGAAACAAGTGTTAAGGGGGACAGTGAATCTGGTTCTGGTAAGCATCAACGTCATGCTACGAGTGCCGCAGAAATTTGAGGGAGGCAACATAACCCTATTCAGACAATCCTATAAATAGGGTCTCATAATCCAACAACGAAGTGGCTGGGAAATGTGAGACCTACTCATAGGCCTGCTCCTGAAATTACTCTCCCTCTCTCTCTCTCTCTCTGCCTCACGTTAGCAATGAGTATGAGAATCACAAGGATACTGTTCTGCTGTTCATGACTTCCCTTCTTGCCGTGTCCTTCATTAGTATCCGAGCTCACTTGAATAACGGACAAGACGAAATTCAGGATCATTCTTAGATTTAGTTTTATCAAACATCTGATGTAAACAAGAATGCAGATAACACTGTTCTAGCTGCAGTTCAGATGAGAATTGAGAAATTCAATGACCATGACCGAGCTACTACATGATCTTGGAAAACAAATTTGTCTCCAAAACAAAAATAGAAGCACAAAATGAGTTCTGTTCTGACGCCCCACTTGGATTCTAGAATTACTGTTACAATACATTGCGTATCTCTTGCAAATTTGAAGAGGGAAAAAGAATAATTGAGAATAATACAATTTTTTTTCTTTGACAAAATGTTTTAAAGAGTAGTTCAAGGAATGAAACTGGGGAATCTATCTGCAAATTTTATCACAATTCAAGGTATGACAGGTCAGAGATGCCTCCCACTACTTGTATTAAAGATGATGCTACCACACACCAGATTACTTCTCTTTCTGCCGCTAACACAAGCCCAACCATCCATTTCCGACACTACTGTGCCTTCCAAGAGAAGTAAGTATCTTTCTAAGATGTATTGAACCTGCATCAAAAAACAATCACATTTAAGTGTTCCCATCATTTGTTGGTCCTGTCTCCAGAAGAATCAAAAGTAATTCTCAGGTAGACCTGCTTAATAAAAGATGAATGGACCAAATCATTTATGAATAGACACGCAAGTATGTCCAAGGTAAATTTTCCCAATAGATCAAAATCTGATGTGCTTACATTTCTATTGGTGATTATTTTGGTCTACTTAAAGAATCTCCCGTACAACTTGAGAGAAAAGGGAGGCTACATCTCGAATAGAGAAAGAAAATTTTTTACATTATATCAACTTCAAATTCACCTGTTCACATAAGATGCCGGAGAGACCAATAATTGCTCCAGGTTTTGCATAAGAAACAATTTGATCTGCAAGGTCTATTAGAGGATTTAAGAGTATATTTGCAACAACCACATCATACTTGTTCTTTTCTGTAGCAATTGTCATCTCAGATCTGTTTTGTCCTTCCACATTCGCATGAAGGGGAGGATCCAGTTAAAAGATACAGTTGCATTTTGTCTGGTCCTAAGTTGTTTAGGGTGGCATTTTGAGATGCAGATGCAATTGCTTGAGAATCTATATCAATTCCAAAAGCAAAGGCAGCACCAAACTGGCGTGGCAGCCATATTGCAAAATGGGAATTAAAGAGTCAGCTGGTATAAATACAAAGCATGAGCAGAGCGTAAAGAAAGAGCAGAAAATACTAATGCATGATGCATAATCCTGACTATTTTCTGAATTTTAAAACATAAGAAAAAGGTTGACTTCAAAATAAAAAGAAGAGCATATTATGAAAACAGAACAACAACTTCTCAAGAAATCCATGTTATTAGTATTATGAAAAATTAAGGGCGATCAAAAAAACAAAGCTACTAACACATGAGGACCCTGCAACAAATATCACACATCCTTAACATTTAACAACTGCATTCAACAGTCCACGTGGATGAAGACTATGCAATGTACCAAGACCACAAGAGTATCCCTGGTTCTGCTGCTGCTTGAGCATCTCGCTTTCCGTTCTCAGTATGGGCATCAATATAATAATTTTGCATGCCTCGCAACTCTTCAAATTCTAAGGTGTGCTTATCAACAAGTGTATACCTTAAGCGCTGCAATTGAAAGAATTCCAGAGCCTGTGCCATAGTCCAGTATGTGTTCTCCCCCTTTTATGCAGCCATGTAAGAGTAATAGGCTCAGTTTAGTAGTTGGGTGCTCTCCTGTCCCAAAGGCTAGTCCAGGATTCAGAATTATATTTGTTGCTTGACTATCCTGTATAAGTGAAGCAATAGCTGATTCCATGTCTTTGTTTGATAATGACAAAAGACTAATAATCCCAGAAAGCAGCGAACTTAGGTGTATTGATGTATATAAGAAGACCTCACGTACTAGATTTTGTGTGTGCACATGTGCGCGTGCAAGCGTGTGTGGAGAGATTGTCTAAGCATGATCAACAACAGTAACAACATACAGGAGGAGTTATCCACTTGGGCACAACCCATAGACCTTCAGTGATCTCTATTGGATGAAATGATTCCTGCAAAAATGGCGAGTCATATTTGATCAGCTTATTTGCAATGATAAATTCTGGCATTGAGTACGAGTAATCTCAAAGCTCCAAAGCTGCTCTATACACATAACTGAACAGAGACTAGATAATGTGGGGAATTAGTCCCTATAGACAGAAAATGATAATAAGATAAATATAGTGAAAAAATGAAGCATAAAAGAACAGAGCAGAAATTGACCTGAGTTTTCTTTACCCAGTCATCATGTTCACCAATTTTAACTTCATATCTTGGTGTTTTTTTCAAACCAATGGAATCAGCAGCGAGTGAAATGCACATATTTATGTCCTGATCTTCAGGGAAAATGGAACTAATGCAAACCTGCATAAATTAAAGTTCTCTAAGAATTCAAAATAAGTCTATTAATACTTTTGCTTTCCAACATTTTTCATATTCTATCGATGTTTTATGTAGACACATATAAATGGCATGAAGCAACAGCAGCACATTATTTCTCTGGTTTAGGGGAACTAGAAAATTTTCCAATATGAGCACTGCTAGATGGTAAAGGAGTTAAGATTTGCTTCATGTTGCTTAATTTTAGAACTAAGATTTATTAATAATTCAAGACCTCGAAAATACTATTTGCTTGATATTCATTTATAGCTCTAATAACCAAATAGACTAGACACCGTAAACATTATGAATCAAAAATATCAAAACTCAATATGATTTTCATCCTATACTCTATCTATTGCCATCATTGGCCTAATTCCAATTTTCTAATATCAAAACGTTGTCCATAATTAAGTATAGGTCCAATATGACAGTTGAGAAGCCAGAGCATATAGCATGAAATATTATTCCCCAAAAAAGGGACAAAATTGTAGTCTAATTTGGCAAAATTGTACCTCATCAGTATTTGCACAGAAATCATCCTCATCCGTGCTGGCAGAACCTGCGCCAAAGCATAAGAGAGCGTCTGCAAGCCCATCCTTGTGAAAAAGAGGAGGAATTCCCGTCAAACATTATAAATTTTTCACCACCCTAATATGTTTTAGTACAACTAAATTTATTATGGCAGCCTAGTTCATCGTTCTTTTCACATAAGATCAACTACATTAACAATTAACAATGCAGCATAGCTCATGTGCTCCATTTACTGAGATTGGTCAATAATCACATTTAAGTTTAGTAGATTGGTCAACTACATTAACAATTCTTGTGATTGGCCAATGGAATATTCCATTTTACATTTTGTTAGCGTTTATATCAGTGGCTCACATATATAAACACCTTTATACGTTTCGGTCCATTTTACAAACATAAGTCAAAAATCAGAAGAATCCCATAAAGGAAACAAACATTTATTTCACATGGGAGGTTGAGTATTGCATTTTTTTTTTTTCGGTTGCTGAGCAACCAGCAGAAGACCCACATATCATATGTTTGGCCCATATTCGTGTCCTGTCAAAGTTGACAAGACATACTAAAGAAAACGAAAAAAAGTCAAACACCAGTCAAGAGTACTAACCCATAAATGAAACATACGCTCATTTCACGCCATGGGTGACTCAAATTTTTGAACTTTTGTCAGCTGAAGAGCTAAAAGCTTGACTCATCACATCAAAAGAATGAGAAAAGAAATAAAAGAGATAAAAGCTTACTGCGACATCTTTGGGACAGTGAATTAGAACCGAAAGGTAAGGCGTGGCAAGGGAATAGTCTCCTACAGCCTCCGAAGAAGTTGCGGAAATCTTCCTGTGGGGTAGCCATTGGTTCCTGAGTCTGAAGCTTGAAAAACAGGATGGAGATGAAGAGCAGTGACTGAACAGAGAAGATGACAAGGGAATGAGGCGACGGGAAAGAGCGGGTGAGTGAGCTCCAAGTGCGACGGCAAGCCGCCTGAGGAAAAGCCACGATGCCATGACCGTGTCTGAAGTACAATTTGCTCCTCTAAATTCATAGTATTATTTTTTATTTTAAATGGACGTAACTTTTCGACATATGTTTTTTCATAAATTTGAATATTGTTCTTGTTTTTTTTTGTTGACCAGAATATTGTTCTTGTTGTTGTATAGGCAAAAGTTATTTTATGATATTTTAGTCAAGGATGGCACTGATCCCTCAACAAATTAAGGTTTAAATTTTTACTGAAAAAAAATGCTAATATTGTGTACCAAATAGTACCTCAAAAAATTACTTTTAATGAAAACATACCTATACATTAAAAAAAATATTTTAGTTAAGTTTTAAATTTTTAAATAAAAATAATTTATTTTAAATTATTATTTTTGTGGGTCAAGAGAGCTTAAATTCTAGACACTCCATGACTTATCCCACCCGCTGATATTAAATTATCAATTATAAATAAATAATATCAATATCAAATACAAAGCTATAATAATAAATTGTAGTATTTATTATAAGTGTGATTTGATATTTTAGATGTTGTCCGAATGCACAAAATTTTATTTAGTTTTATTAATATCTTTTTTACAAAAGAGTGTTTGATTCTAACTTCTAGTTTTAATCACCTCTTACTTTATTGCTTAAAAATTGCTCTGAGTGATTTATTTATTATATATAGTATCAATATATTTAATTAGTCATATAAAAAGTAAACTTCTTTATATTCTTGTATTTTCTGAACATGACTTATTTTTCAGTATATACAACTTATTATTAATTCATGCAATCCGGAGGAGTATGCATGAGATGGGTTTCACTCATTGTCCATCAAAAACAAAATTGTGATATTTATAAAAGTGAATTATACTACGGCGGTGTGTATGGAAAAACACTGTTGGGAGGGTCCCCGTTAACGGCGCTGATTCAGTACCACCGAGAGTACATTAGTCTCTTACCATTCGGATAGGAGGATACTCTGGGCAACCCAAAAAAAAGTGAATTATGCTCAAGCAAAATAAGAGAACACAAAATATTTGAAATGATAAATAGTCTCTTTTAAGAAGGAAAACACAAGTTTAAATTTCAAAATTTGTTCGAAAAACTTTGACCTTAACGCTCTGGTCCTAACAAAAATTGGTTTTAAACTCAAATGAGTTAAGAATATTTTGTGCTGCATCAAAAAAAAAAAGGAAGAAGAAAAGATAACTAAAACCGGGATGCCAATTTACGTAACGGCTCATTCTCATAAACTTGTGTCTGAGACCTCTTAAATAAATTATTTTTTTTCGTAAGACAAACTCTTTATATATTTACTCCTTATAATGCGTAAGTATTTTTTTAAGCTCCTCCAATCCAAGTGAGCATAAAGTCCGGAGAAAAAACTATCTGTAAATTCGAATTAATGGTTGTATGTTACAATTATGACGTCAATGAGCAAAACCCCTAATTATACAGCGTTACTGTCACTATTGAGCCAGAAAACAATGTAGGAAAAGAAATAGAATAATAATAATGACAATAGAACATACAAAAACAACTTGTTACAATGATCTATGTACATTTAATCAGAAAACAATACGTAAACAAAAACAGGTCCACCACCAATCATTCCCCGCTTAAGTTGGATTTAGATCCCTGAGACTTGACCTTGCCATCTGTGAAACAAAAAGCCACACAGTAGATGTGAGAAATGAGCTTTCTCCTTCCTCCATATCAAAACCTCCAATCTAAATGCCAAAGAGAAAGAAAGCAATGGAGGAGGTGGGGTGTATTCCTCAAAATATCAGTTCAGAAAAGATAGGCAGACCGAACCGGTCATAGAATACATATTTTACAAATTCGTTAGATCCATTTTTCAATAAGAACAAAACTTGCGTCAAGTTTTTATACTACCCGGTCCTAATTATAAAAGCTAGTTGATTAATTTGAGGAGATTAAATAAAAAAGTTAAGTTAGTTATTTGTTATAAATAGGTGTTGTCTTTCTTAAAATATCATTGCTAATCAAGTGTATTGGTTAGAACTACTGTTGTTAGAAGGACTATCTTGGAAAAAAATATACATAAATATTATAGACAAAATGGATTGGGGTTTTATATTTAGGACCAAACTAAAAGTCAAACGAGATCCTATATTAAAGACTGGAGGTAGTATTAATTAGGTCAAGTTCCAATCACACTAGTTATGTTACTATTATTAGTTGTTAAAATGAGTATCTGCACCTATAAATTTACCCATGAAATATAGGCACTTATTATTTGGCTATTGGCAGTTGTTTAAAATGTGTGCCTGTATTTCTAAATTTACCTATAAACTTAATCTAGTAGATATAAAGAACTGAGAAAAATTTATATAAGTTTTATCTTATCAGTGAAAGCCACATATTCATTCATTCATTCATGACTGACTTGGTCAACTAGAGAGAATTTCCAGAAACATGTACTTCTTTTGGGGGAAAAAAAGTTGATCAAGCAGGCAAATAATTTCTGTAGACCTGGAGAGAAGAAATTTTGCTAGTGGGCTTATATTGCTTGAGTGAGTATCCTTTCTCTGCTGCTTCCCCCGGTCATCAGTTGCCGCACTTGTGTTTCGAGTTTCTTCTGAAGCTGACTTGCTGAATAAGTCGCCGGCCAGCTCCTGAAGCTCCTTCAATGAAGATTCCTTTGAACTGCACAATTTTCATTTGTCGTTTAGGGAACGGGCTAGCAAGTATTGCACTGAAAAAATCAAAATTTTCATCAACAGGTTTGTGTGGTGAATGTTTGTAGAAAGCAAACCTTGCCAACCGCTGAAGCAACTTTTTGAGAAGAAGATCAGAGGATTTAGGATTTGCCCGCTCCATGCTGACAAGTGAATTGACGACTTCTTCTACAATTGAGCCTTCTGGATCGTTAGCAACAGCCTACAAAATGAACATCACCATAATTAAACGAACAAATGGGGGGGGGGGAATAGAAGGCTGGTGAAATATTTATCTTCATTTAGGACATATCAACTTTCATCATGGACCTCAAATCAAAACAGAGATGTCCAAATAAATAATCCTCGCTGCAGTCATCACAATTGTGGAAACTAGCATTCTTCACACACAATCTATCAACTCAATGCTCTATTTGGCATCACAAACTGGTTTAAAACGGTTTAGCTCCATCAGACTGCTTCCAAATGCTAAAAGTAAAATCTATATTTGGATTCACCTCTTTCAAAGAAGGAATAACCAAATTGGATAATGGACAGAGGATGACATTATTTTAGCACTTTCTTCATCATCCCAAGGATGGCGAGATCTTGAAATTCCCTTTTGCACATCCACATAGTCACGAGATAATCTGCAACAGAATGTTCTAAAATTTATTATCACATCGTTATTTCACCGGCAGAAAAAACAACTATTTTATGGTTGTAGATAATGGGTGCACCTGGATAATCGGGGCTGCCTCTTGCCTGGTCTCTCCTGCCTTCTTGTGAATCATTATTGACCTTTCCCACCACAACTCTATCCCGGGCATTCCCTTTCCTTCCTCCTTGCATGGCAGCTTTTGCCTAGGGAAACAAATTAAGAAACAACATACAGTCAAAAATAAATGATGTTAATTTCACCAAGTAATCACAAAAATATCTAGTCTCCCATAATAAACATGTAAATGAAGTAATGAACAAAAAGAGTAGAAATTTCAGACATCCTCTGAAAAGGGGGTTTAAAAATGCAGATAAACCACAAAATGTATAAGAAACTAGCAAATATGAATTTAGAAATGTATTATGCAGGTAATTAATAAGGATTGGTTGTAATGAGATGCCTAAATTCCACATCAAGTAGTACAGAATGGTAGGTGTGGCAATTTTTAAAGAACGGAGATTTCGGGGGTATTTGGATTAGCTTTTCAGAAGTGATTTTATAGAAATTACTGTCTGAGAGGAGTTTTGTCTCGGCTTGTATGAAAACACTTTTTTTAAGTGCTTTTGGGGGATCCCAAACACCCCTTTCATCTTGCAAAAAGTTACATCAAATAGCCTCTGCTAACAATAATGGATTGAGGGCTGTGCACAAAAAACTGTTAAAAAATTTAAAAGAATTAATTCCTCATACTAGTTAAAATAGAAGCAGCTCTGGCCATGTGGTTTACGTAGGCGTGGTACATGAAGAGCGGGTGGTTTTCAACCCTTGAGTGTATTTTTATGGGTGGGTTCCCAAGACCTTCTTTGGGTCCTACTACTAACCATATGCATGGTATAAAGAAAAAGAAAAGGATAAAAGATCCAGTTTGCCGAGCTCTAGCACCCCTTAATTCAAAGTTTTTATATCAGAAATAGAA